AGGTAGTTACTGCTAACCAGCTTGCTTCCAATTCAAAATTAGAAAAGTACTAAAAAGTATAGTTTCTAATTATAGAGGCAAGTTGTATTTAGCAGGTAATATATATTGCAGCATATTTCTGGGTCTGCTTTTTGGCTCAAAACGGCTCCACACTGCTTGTATTTACAATACAAATGCAGAAGTCAATGTACAAAACAATGAAGGCAAGGTAAACAGCTCACTTAAACTGAGCTTGCAATATCTAAATTAACATAATTGAAATAAAAATACCCAAACCCCTACCATATCCTTCCTCTTACCTTAAAGGAAAACAAAACTGTTCTCCTCCCCAAATGTTGAATGAGTAGGAATAAAAAAACCACACATGAACACACACACAAAAACAAACCCAAGCCTCTTAGCAATAAATACCTGCCTGATTCAAACTTTATGGCAATCTGTAATTGTTGGAAAACCATGAACTGCATGGTAATGGGAAAGGTAAATGAGCAAAAGCATGATTTGGTTGTGACATCTGAGTAGAGTTAAGGTATTACTGATTCAGTTAATAAGATCCTGCAGGGAAGACTGCAACATCTGCAAATCTCTAAGCATCATCATAATCATAAAATAAAATATTGGGATTAGGAGACATTACTTCTTTTTTTATCCTAGATACAAGAGAAACCAGATGCAAGTGGTTATTCAACTCTTTGATTCTAGACTGAAAAAAGTATAACAGCAATAAAAAGAATGTTAAATATGAGCAAAATACCTAATGCTTTGTAACTGGGTGTTAAATTAAAATTGGTAAGAAATGTTTTACTAGCTCATTCTCCCTTCTTTGCTATTTTAATGGAGCACATCTTTACACACTATTGGAGGTTTGGTACCTTGGGCTCCATCAAATGAGAGTCCCCACTTTACCACATGTTAAAGAGAACAAGGAGAAAGCATATTCAGATGTGCCAGATTTTCTCATTATAGCTTTTACAATAAAAGTAGTACTTACCTGCATAGCATTGATTTTCTAGTCTGGTCTATTTGTTGAAGTTACAGGAAACAATTTTCCATAATAGCTACAATAGTAGACAACTTTAGCACTAATCTACTGCTAAAAGTCTATTAGCCATGCAAGTTTAAAGATACTATATTTAAATATATAGTTTTAAAATGAAGTTCATTAAATTATTTTTTAATCACATGTTTAATATTGTGTTTCAGATAATTCAGGATTTACAGAGTACAGTGAATAACACAAGTATCACCTCCAATATCTCTTACTTAAGCACTGGATCCAGGGGTGGGATTCAAAATTTTTAACAACCGGTTCTGTGGGCGTGGCTTAGGTGGTGGGCATAGCTTGGTGGTCATGTGACTGGGTGGACATGGCTTGGTGGTCATGTTGGCTGGGTGGGGCCAACTCAATATCACTCACATCGAGGCACGCATCTCCTCGCCTGGCCTCTCATGATGTGGGGATGCTGCAATAGTCGTAAGTGTGAAAAATGGTCATAAGTCACTTTTTTCAGTGCCATTGTAACTTTAAATGGTCACTCCACACAAGCAAAGGAGGGGAAAAAACTCCAGAGAAGTTCCTGAGACAGGAAGTCTAGTCTTGCCAAAAATGTAACAAGGGTTAATGGAGAGGCAGTTTCTGTAAGCAACACCAGAATGTTTCCTTCCTGCCTTCCTTACAGGATTAGGCCAGTAATTTCTTCTAACAACTGGTTCTCCAAACTGCTTAGAATGTTAACAACTGGTTCTAGTGAATAGGTGCTAACTAGTAGAATCCCACCCCTGACTGGATCCATATAGCACAGGGCCCCACAAATGTTGTAGAACTAAGGAACATACTTGGCCTTTGGATAGCAAGTTTAAACCATACCCTAAAAAATTATGGCTGTGGGCAGTACAAATACTAGGTTCAACTACACGTTACTTTCATTTTATTAAAATTAAAATATAATTATATGATTGCATTACAATATGTTTCTTATTTTGCTGGCTCACTTATTATTTTTTAATATTGTGCAACACTTGGTGTCAGGAAGATAAGTAGATTTGAAGACCATATTAAATTGGTTTCACTTCTGTCAACTTAAAAATGACGATGCAGTTGAACTCTGGAGAGTCCAATGTGGCCTTTCTTGGAATTAGGTAATTTCCCAATTTAGTTTGTCCCCACACTTTATTGGGATGGGAGAGGGGCAGGATTATGTAAATGACAGTGAAATGTGGAAGATGAACAGAGGCAACAGGTGATGGTGAGGAGAGGGATCTTTGGAAATTTATTTATTTTTTATTTATTAAATTCCTCACATAGAAAAGAGACCTTTCCCATGAGCTGCAAAAGCATGGCTGAAGTTTCCAGTGTGATAATAATAACAGGATTGTTTTGTATTTCAAAGGACAGGCCAGCTTTTCTTTATTAAAGTAAATGTTCAGGAAGGGAAGAGCTTACACTACATTACAAAGTGGTGGCTTCTGTTTGATGAAGATTGCCAATTGCTAGAGCACTCTGATACTGAACAAAACTACCATTTCTGGGAACACTTCTACAATGCTGCTGTATGAGTCACCTCAAATCATTTGTTTATGCAGATGTTCCTGAATCACATAGAAAATAGCTTGTTAACGACAGTACCCCTAGACTCTTATCCCTCAGTCTTCATACTGGGCCCTGTGTTACAATGACTAAAATTGTGTGTGTGCGGTCTGCCTCCTTCCTCCCTGACTGCCTGCATGTAGGACCACTTGTTCTATTCAGAATAATGATGGGTCCAAGCTTCTTGCTTCCTGGCTTCAGCCCCCTGCCTGGCTGCAAGGAGGGCTTATTGTTACCGGCAGTGTAATTATGGGTGTTTGGTCTTATTCTCTTCACCTAAGGTGTAATTTACTTTATATAAAATGTGACTCCACCTCTCCAAAGCTGGTGCATCCAGCTGCTCATCTTGTGTGCAAATTGTTGCTATTCTGAGTGCCCAGCAGGAGCTGGAAGGAACCCAGAGAGTAGGAAGGAATAGTGCTGTGGGTGAAACTGAAGATGTTTTATGGGTGAAGAGAGATTTGTCAGCCTGCCATCTCAGGGTCTCCATGGGAATTTGGCCCCTGATTTCAGTGAATTTCAAGTTTTCTTCTCATGCTTTGATATTCCTCTCTTTCAACAGGTTCCATTTCTACCCAATAAAATTCAACAATTCATCAAGGTATCTCGCAATTACACATACTTTACTGTTCTTGCTTCACAAATGACCTCAATGCCTTTTTAATTGGTGAGTGTTTTGCCAGAAAGGAAAAGGGAGCAATTGCTATGAGGCACATATATGGCTGGGTTAATTCAATATTTGAAAGAAGACCCTTTATTTCAGTTTTGAGTCTTCTGTGGACTAAAATAAATGGACAAAAAATGACCAACTTATGTAGACTTCAACAGAGAAATGATGACTAGTAATACTAAAATCTAAACACAATGAGTTTAAAGTTAATTATAGTAATGTAGGAACATATATAAAATATTATTAATCCACTTTTACAATATATTTCTTGGTATATACTATATTTGTACACAGTCCAGCCATACACAAACCCTTTCCTTTTTTCTTTTTGATACTGTGCCATAATTTCCCATGATGTCTGAAGCACATGATATTGTAACCTGATTCAACACTATACTAATCCAGCAGTGCCCTAAAGGGGGAAACATGAGAGAGGAGGATGGAGCACTCAGGCTTATACATAAGTCTACTTCTAAGCTAAACTGATATCCTGTCACATGTGTACTGTATATACAGTACGTCCAGATGGATCTTATTTAACAGAATAACAGAGTTGGAATAGTCCTTAAAGGTCTTCTAGTTCAACTCCCTGTTTATGCAGGAAGGCCTATACCAAAGAGCTGCAATGGCACAGTGGTTAGAATGCAGTACTGCAGGCTACTTCTGCTGACTGCCGGCTGACTGTAATTTGGCAGATCGAATCCCACTAGGCTCAAGGTTGACTCAGCCTTCCATCCTTCCGAGGTGGATAAAATGAGGACCCAGATTGTTGGGGGCAATAGGCTGACTCTGTAAACTGCTTAGAGAGGGCTGTAAAGCAGTGTGAAGCAGTGTATAAGTCTTAAGTCCTATTGCTATTGCTATTTCAAATAAATTCTTGTTCAATCTCTTCTTTAAAACCTCCAGTGTTGGAACATCCACAACTTCTGGAGACAAGTCATTCTTCTGATTAATTGTTCTGTCAGGAAATAACTCCTTTGTTCTAGCTTGGTTCTCTCTATTAGTTTCCATTCATTGCTTCTTGTTCTCCTTCTTTGTGGCAGCCCCTTAAATAAATATTGGAATATTGCTATCATATCACCCCTAGTCTTTCTTTTCATTAAACTAGACATATCCAATTCTTGCAACTGTTCTTCATATGTTTTAGTCTCCATTTGTGAGGCTTAAATACCAGCCTAACTAATCCTTCCATCTATAGAATTTAGAAGGCTGGGCTAATAGAGGCCCAGGGAAAAAAAAACCCCAAATAGGGATACTTGAATACTAAATACAGAATCAAAATAAGGATGCCATAAAGCATTTGTCCTACAGTTTCAAAAGTGCAGGACTGTTTTTTGTGCTACTCCATTTCTCATTTTCATTGTGGAAGAAGTAGTACGTGAGAAAAGGGTAGCCAATATGAAATCAGGATGCTACAGATCACTGGGAGATTCTGAGGAAGAGGGGGCCAGTTTTACTCTTCCAGAAAATGGCAGATGAACTGCGTGCCAAATAACAGAGGGTCACAAGCCCATTTACTTTTTATTTAGCCACTGCTGATACATGATAATATATAATGGGATGGCAGACAATGAAGTCCACTTTTCTATTCCTATTTATCTCTGCAGGCATGTGTATGTAAAAGAGAGACAAACACTTCTGTAATGATATTTCCACTTTTATCAGCTTGAATTTTCTGAAGTCACATGCTGTCCATAATATAAGTAAGCTATATTCATGCCGAAACTCTCTTTTCTCTTTCAGGCCAAGATACAAACTCATGCCCTTCCTCCAGGCCAACTTCAGAGGTAGCATCAGCAACTTCAAACTTCATAACCTCTACTCCTAGTTCTCAAAATCAGACCACAGTTGTGAAAGAGGAAATCTCACTGGAAGAACGTTCAACATCTCAACATAGATCCCTGATGAATGGAAATTCTTCATCCAATACAGAATCCGAGGGCAACTTCACAATGGTAGAGGCAGTGACGTGTATGTTTTTTCCTTCCTATCACATCATCTTTTTACTTTCCTTTTTTAAATTGAGAAACAAAATATCCCGATAAAATAAAACAAAGTTACCAAATGAAAAATAAATTGTGGCAAAAGAACTTTTTAAAAAATGAAAGCAAGTGAAACAGTGAGTGAATGGAAGCGTCTATTTGTTCTTTCTAGAACAAATATTCTACAGACAAGGTGATTTTTTTTAGGGAAAAACAGTTTTAATGTAGCTAATAAATACCATAATAAAATTTGGAAAAAAGTCCCTTATAGTAGATCTTTTTCAAGACCCTTTGTAATCATTTGAAAATTTCAAGTACAGCCATTTCCCACAGATTTAAATACCTCTGATCAACTGAAAGTTTTATTTCAATTCTACATTTTGGTGGTGATAACAAACTGGGCAGGCAATTGAAAAACTGAATCAATATTTTTTATTTATTTAAATATTTTTATTTATTAGTATTTATTTCTTAATTTTATTTCTTAATTCTTAATTTTTAGAAGAATATTATAGGACTTAGCAAATATGGTCAATAATTCAAAGCAGGATTTATTATGAAAGGTTTTGCAATTTCTTCAAAAGCTTGTGACCAAAAAGTATGCGAATTTGATAAAGATGATAATGTAAACACATATCTTTACAATCTCCCAACATACCTGAAAAACATTACAATTTGTATTGGCTAATTTTTGCAGTTGGTAATTTTATTTATGAATTATGCTGATGTTTAATTCTTGGCATCATGCTATAGAATATTTGAATACAGTTGTATGTTATAAATGGTTCCAATTAGCATAGGGTTCATATAATAAACAAACCTCCTTGAACTGTTGTTGTTAACCTTAATAAATTCTATGTTATGTATTGTTGATATGACATTGTCACATTGATGTTCTTGCTGTCAACAGAAGTGATGTATACTTTTTTCAAATGCTTTCTCAATTGATGAGATCTAAATAATTTAGGGGGGAAATGAATAGATTTCCCTGATTTGAAATTCATTTGTTTGCTTTTTAGAAATGTTCATTTATCTAATTTCATTAACAGGCAGAAAACTATAAAATGCAGGTGCTCCAATCCTAATCCTATTCATGGTGTCCTTTTATGTCAATTTCAGTTAATGGCTTGATTGGCTAGGTATACTCAAACTTATGGCAAACCTATGTCTTTAGTTTGGCAACTTTTAAATCAGGCTTGCTTTGTATATGTTATATTAACATATTGAATTATTAAAACTGAATTTTAACTTGCAATATATAACAAAAGTGGAAAGATGACCTTTTCAGCAGGTAGAAGCATTGAGGTGAGCTTGTTTGAGCCTGGAAGTTTATTTTGGCTTGAAGCAGGGACAAACTTGGTTTGTTCTCAAATGTGAGACTAACAGTAATGTTAGATAACAATTTCGGGTCTGTAGGATAAATTGGGAAATAAAAAAGCAAATTAGAAGCAAACAGTGGTAATCTTTTCCTCCACTTTTATTAAGAAAACTGCCTGCTAGTGTCTATGTAGCTGCCATTTGAGCTCAGTTGAAGGGCAGTGCTCAGACTGAGTTGAGTACTAAAATCATAGTATCTCTGAAATTTAATATAGAAACCAATTCTTATTACGTGATTGCTTTATTTAGGAATAAAACAACTTTTATATAATGTAGCCCAACTTACATTATAACAGTATGGATGTAGTTGAAGCCAACTCAAAGGAAGAGTCATATCATCACAAGAGCCATGGTGGCACAGCGGTTAAAATGCAGTACTGCAGGATATTTCTGCTACTGACTGCAAGCAGTGTGGCAGTTTGATTCTCACTGGTTCAAGGTTGACTCAGCCTTCCATCCTTCTGAGGTCAGTAAAATGAGGACTCAGATTATTGGGGGCATATGCTGACTCTGTAAACTGCTTAGAGAGGACTGTAAAGCACTGTGAAGCGGTATTATAAGTCTAAGTGCTATCGCTACATTGCTATTTCAAACATCAGAGTATCAGTGGGCTGAGCCTTTGAGTTAAAACTTTTTGCTACAAAATCTATTCTCCCCCCAAATAATAAAAATAACATTTCTTACATTTTCTATCTATAAATGTGGAAGACAAATTTCCTTGGTTTATTTTTTCAGAAAATATATATATATATATTAGTTTGAGTTAAACTCTCACTCTCTTTGGTGGGCTTGTTTGAGAGAAGCTGCCTGTTGACCACATAAATCCGAATCAAAGAGACCATTGGAAATAACTGAGATTGCTAGTTGAGCACAGGGTGTTGGTCTGGTTTGAAAAGGGAAACTGTTGGAGGGCCAAGAAAAATTGTAATAACGTGCTGGGAACAAAATTCTTTATCATCAGCAAAATTCCCACCTGTAATTATCTGATTAGGTGAGTCCCCACTCTATAATTTTATCCCTAAAATAATGATGATTAGAATGGTTCACCCATGTCATTGCAGTTAAGGTCATGTCAGTGTGTGAACCCATATTCTCTTGGGCTCCATTGAACTCAGCCAACAAAAGTCATTCTTAAATGTAAGCTGAAAGTTTTTCCTCTCAGAAAGCATTTACATACAAAGACCGAACTTGCTCTTTATAGTTGTAGATATAGTTGTAGATATAGTTGGATCTTGGCAACCATTATTAGAAACAAGCTTTCATGAAAAATTGCTATTAGCATGCTAGTGCAGCCTTTCCAAAGTCACAAAAAGGCAGAAAGGAAACCACAGTGCAGACTGTTTTCAGAATACTGATGTTTGCATACCTGGGTCATGGATGGGTCAAAAAATAAATTGTATTTTAAGAAATAATATTTTTTTTAAAAGGGTGAAGAGACTGTACTCCTAACACGTAGTCTAAAGGAATGTAAACTTCATTCAATTTTAATTGTAATACAGTATACATAGGGTATATGTGATGTTAGTTCTTAGTTCATAGCCTCATAGTTATGAATTAACTTAGGAAAATTGTGGCTAAGAGGATAAGGACAATATGATAAAATGCAACCAAGCCTTGATTTGGAATGCTTTGAGATCATCAATTGAAAAGTGTTCTAGAACAGGGGTCCCCAACCTCCAATCCATGGAGTGGCACCGGGCCATGGCATGCCAGAATTGGGCCATGCAAACAAGCGAAACCCCATCTGTGGGATGCAGGCAGCATACAAAACCATGCCCCCTCTGGTCTGCAGGAAAACCTCTCTCCACAGAACTGGTCCCTGGTGCCCAAATGGTTTGGGGCCGCTGTTCTAGAAGTTTTTAAAATAAAATTTAAAATTGTTAGAGGTGGATGTTTCATAATCGTGAAAAGTAGTCATTGGCCTGAAATTGTTTCTATCTATTCTCCAGGAAAACAATCCTTATAGAAAGCCAAATTATTGTTCCATTCTGTCCTGTTCTTTAAGGAAGAAAATCTTCACAGAATGCTTTCATGCTTATTTCATAACAACCATTATTAATCATCAACAGTTCTGACTTATATTCTTTTGATATTTTATCTGTCTATCTTAGCATTCTCTATGTGTTTGCCATTGGGTTTGTAATGAAATTCTGCTTATAAATGATTCCCCTAGAAGGAGAGTAGTTCAGTTTTGCTGCTTATACAGAGTGCTTTTGCAGGACCGAGCATCCAATTTTATTGATCAAACCAAAATCAAAGCAACTAGATATTTTCTGTATTCACCTAAAGATGTATACATAAGTGGAAACCACAATATTAATACATCCTCACACATTCCATTCTACTTGTTTTCTCTTTGATTCCAGTATTCATAATAGAGATTTGAGTACGAGTAGCACCCTTTTGATAGGTTACTCGTAACTAAAGAGATTAGGATTGTACAGCCGGGCATCTACTGTGCATTTCCTCGTTTCTCCTCAGTATCTTGACACAAGGAGCATCTTGTGCTTGAAGGCCATGCGTGGTCTCTCAGTATGACTCAGTGTGGCCCTTTTCATCTGAGGAGTTCAGGAGTGCTGTCCCGTTGACACCCCAGAAAGAATATAGCTTCTGTTTCTTGAATTGGCTCCTGGTGCCTTTAGCTTTCAACACTTTGTGCTAATTCACTGCTGCTTTACAAATCAGAGAGAGGAAATGTACAATCTATTCCCTCCCCAAAATACATGATCTACTGGCGGGGGAGGGGGGCTGGTTCGTTGCTTTTTAACCAACTTTTGCTTTGCTCTGACCTAACAAGATTGTGCTATTACTTACTTACTTACTTACTTACTTACTTACTTACTTACTTACTTGCTTACTTACTTGCTGTATTTATATAGTCACCTATCTCACATGAAAGTGACTCTGGGTGGTATATAGCACTCGATTAAAAAACTATAAAAGTCACATTTTTAAAAAAAAACATTAAAAGGAGGATAAGATATTAATTACAGTAAGGAAAATTTCACAAATCTCTCCAGTCCCCTCAGGCCTGATAATATAGCCAGGTTTTGAGGGACTTTCAGAATGTTGAGAGGGATGGAGATAATCTCACATGCATACATATACAATTCATATGTATTTATAGTTCATAATTGGTTTAAATTACACTTTGTTCCCTTCAAATATCTTTCCTGGCCAAGATAATTTAAATTTTTCCATGGATCTGTCCATTGTCTATTAAATCAACATTTTTAAGACAGCTTCAACACATTTTGTATACCCAAGGATTGTTCTGTACTCTTCTGATTACAGGAACATTGAGACATTACTTAATTATAGTCTACTGAAAGTTAAACATTTGACTAACACTGAAAAAGTTGGGATGAATTCTTCAAAAATGTACAAAGTGCTCCTTTACCTTTTCCCAATTATTTTGAGTAGCACTTCTTAAAAAGCTCGATATGTTTTGATTCACATATTGTATTAAAGTGACAATGTGGTTTTGGTGGACTTTGTTTTAGTGTATTATGTGAACCCAGTTGATTATGACACTTGGTAAAAGTCCATGGCGTAAATATGTGAACCAGGCCATTTTCTGTATATCCTGTTCATTCCAGATATAATATCGACTGTAGAAAATACACTGCTCAAAAAAATAAAGGGAACACTTAAACAACACAATGTAACTCCAAGTCAATCACACTTCTGTGAAATCAAACTGTCCACTTAGGTGGCAACACTGATTGACAATCAATTTCACATGCTATTGTGCAAATGGAATAGACAACAGGTGGAAAGCATAGGCAGTTAGCAAGACATCCCCAATAAAGGAGTGGTTCTGCAGGTGGTGACCACAGACCACTTCTCAGTTCCTATGCTTTCTGGCTGATGGTTTGGTCACTTTTGAATGCTGGAAGTGCTTTCACTCTAGTGGTAGCATGAGATGGAGTCTACAACCCACACAAGTGGCTCAGGTAGTGCAGCTCATCCAGGATGGCACATCAATGTGAGCTGTGGCAAGAAGGTTTGCTGTGTCTGTCAGTGTAGTGTCCAGGGCATGGAGGTGCTACCAGGAGACAGGCCAGTGCATCAGGAGATGTGGAAGAGGCCGTAGAAGGGCAACAACCCAGCATCAGGACTGTTACCTCCACCTTTGTGCAAGGAGGGACAGGAGGAGCACTGCCAGAGCCCTGCAAAATGACCTCCAGCGGGCCACAAATGTGCATGTGGCTGCTCAAATGGTCAGAAACAGACTCCATGAGGGTGGTATGAGGGCCTGACATCCACAGGTGGGGGTTGTGCTTTCAGCCCAACACCATGCAGGATGTTTGGCATTTGCCAGAGAACACCATGATTGGCAAATTCGCCACTGGCGCCCTGTGCTCTTCACAGATGAAAGCAGGTTCACACTGAGCACATGTGACAGACATGACAGGGTCTGGAGACACTGTGGAGAATGTTCTGCTGCCTGCAACATCCTCCAGCATGACCGGGTTGGCAGTGGGTCAGTAATGGTGTGGGGTAGCATTTCTTTAGGGGGCCACACAGCCCTCCATCTGCTCGCCAGAGGTAGCCTGACTGCCATTAGGTTCCAAGATGAGATCCTCACACCCCTTGTGAGACCATATGCTGGTGCGGTTGGCCCTGGGTTCCTCCTAATGCAAGACACTGCTAGACCTCATGTGGCTGGAGTGTGTCAGCAGTTCCTGCAAGATGAAGGCATTGATGCTATAGACTGGCCTGCCCGTTCCCCAAACCTGAATCCAATTGAGCACATCTGGGACATCATGTCTCGCTCCATCCACTAATGCCACATTGCACCACAGACTGTCCAGGAGTTGGGGGATGCTTTAGTCCAGGTGTGGGAGGAGATCCCTCAGGAGATCATCCGCCACCTCATCAGGAGCATGCCCAGGCGTTGTAGGTAGGTCATACAGGCACATGGAGGCCACACACACTACTGAGCCTCATTTTGACTTGTTTTAAGGACATTACATTAAAGTTGGATTAGCCTGTAGTGTTTTTTTTCCACTTTAATTTTGAGTGTAACTCCAAATCCAGACCTCCATGGGTTGCTAAATTTGATTTCCATTGATAAATTTTTGTGTGATTTTGTTGTCAGCACATTCAGCTATGTAATGAACAAAGTATTTAATAAGAATATTTCATTCATTCAGATCTAGGATGTCTTATTTTTGTGTTCCCTTTATTTTTTTGAGCAGTGTATATGCACCAAAATTAGAACCTCATCTGCGTGAAGATGGACTTCAAAATATCATGCCCTAAAAGGGTTTAGTTAAAGCACCACCATTATTTTTCACTCTTTAAATTAAAAATTTTCTGAATTTATGCTTAAAGGAGTCTTGAACATTCATAGCCAAACCACAATCAGTTAACATGTTGCCTCCAATAGAGTGGTTGCCATTTAGATCTGGTTACTTCTTACTCCTCAAGGGACTGGTATATATCATTTGAAATCTGGTGTGCTGGTGAAGTGGCAAATTAACCCTGTATACATATGATCTCTTAGCCATAAATACCTAGTAAGTTCCATTGAAGAAAATGCAGCCACACAGCTACAGCTAGACAACAGTTTACAATCACAATTGCTGTTTTATTGTCAAATGGTTTGTAGTGGAGAAGAGCTAAATAACAGGTCAGCCAGCACTGGGCTTTTCTAACAGTGCTCAGAGAAGACAACCAAGGTGCTTAACACAGAAAAGGCTGATCGCCCAAGGCATTACATACAGCCAAGGAGTTCTGCTCTCACACCATCACCAAGAAAGACTTAAAAATCAGGATAATGTTTGTATTTTTCAAGCAGTTTTTCCCAGATAACTCAATTTCCTTAAGGGGCTTCTATATGTTTGTTTTGGACTTCTGCTGTGATCCTGAGCACAGTTACTAGTATATAAATGCAATTAAAGTTGAATGGAAATACTTCCAAATGTGTATTTCCTTTTTAAAAAAAACTGGCACAGAATGAGTATTTAAATTATACTTTTCATGCAAACCATGTTGCATTATACATAGTTTCAATTTTGGCATGTGGTCAATACAATTTTCTGAGTTTTAAAACTCATAAATCATTCTTAAAAATTCTGAATTTGATATTTTATTATTAACTTAATGTACTTCTATTCCAACTTTCTGCCTGATAGCAGGCCCCAATGAGACTGAAGGTAAGGGAGAATGAATGTTTTAATGCTTACTAAAAGCCCTGTTGATTTACAGATGTTTACTTTTTAGGTCTTAGAAATTTTTGAAATGCAGAAAAAATGATTGGTTAAATCTCCTAATATCATACTTTAATCTACATGTTCAGTTTAGCTTTTTGTCATATATAGTCTAAAACCTATTTTAAAAAACATCTATGGAGATTCTCAGTCATCCAGATCATGGTTGCCTCAATGATGCTTTTTCAAGAAGCAATTGGACTTTCTGTTTTTTTCTTTGAAGATATTTCGTTTCTCATCCAAGAAACTTCTTCAGCTCTGACTGGATGGTGAGGGAATGGAAGCATTTATACTCTTTGCAAACAGTTGGTGATTTGCATTCTTTTAGAGAGTTGTTGAGGCTACCTGGAGGTTTATCTGTGTCGTCAGTATCACCTGAGTAGTGCAAATGGGGGTGGAACCCTTTTTGAAAGGGATTGTGTTGTAGACTAGAGATAGAAGGTGTCATATCCCTCCTCTTCTATTGAGAAAGGACTTTTCAGTTTTGACATAGATGGCCTCTTTGACCCCTCTTGCAAATCAGGGGTCTCCTCTTTGTCCAGAATGTGGACTTTGCTCTCTTCAAAAGAGTGGCCTTTGTCTTTTACATGCAGATGGACTACTGAATCTAGTCCTGATGAGTTTGTTCTCCTTTGTTGTGCCATGCATTTATGAAGTGGTTGTTTTGTTTCCCTAATGTATGGATCTGCACATCATTCACTACAATTGTATTGCATATACCATGTTGCTCACTTTGTGTCTGGGTGTTTCATCCTTGTGGATAAGCTTCTGCCTTAATGTATTCTTGGGTTTGAAGTGTGCATGTATGTTGTGTTGGCTAAAGATCCTCCTGAGCTTTTCCAATATTCCTGCCATGTGTGGAATGATGACATTGGTTCTTTTATTGTTTTTTGTGTTGTCTGTTATGGAGGAGCTCCTGTAGGATCTTTTTTGAGATTTGATGAAGGCCCACTTGGGATAACCACTATTTAAAAAGACCATACTATTTTAACTTTTGAAGAAAAATTATTTCCAGACAGTAAATTTCTATGTATACATAGTACATGAGAACATTGTCCTGCATTTGAAGGACTTTTTAGCTGTGTCAGACTTTGAGAACTTATTGTTAAGGGAAAAGGAGCAACCTCATCTTTAGCTTCTTTTTTCTTTTTCTTTTTTACTGCTCCTCATAGGAACAGCTGCTGTCCTACCTTACAGCATAATTGTCTTTGATTACTACATCATGTTTGTTTGCATCTATCATGAGAGAAATTTATCTCTGCTAACTTGTGACCAACCTTTGTTGCTCACATTTGAAGCTGATAGTAAGGAAAGCTAATTCTCTGAGAGCTGACTCATAATGGGACAAATCATTGCTAATCCCTTAGTTGCCCTGAAACAGAAGCAATAACATGAGATTTTTAATCATTGTTATCAAGAAGCTTTATTTCCTCTATGAGTTAAAATTCAAAAAGATCTTAGTCACAGGAAAGGATATTGCTGGAAACAATTTCAGTTACATGCCTAGCTAATAGATTTAATTGCAGTAAGGACTGAAGAGGGAAAGTAGACTTTAAAAATAACTAGAGTTATTTCTCAAAATGCTTTCTGAGAGATTAAAGTCAATAAAACAATTGTTCTATGAGAAAGTTATGCATAGGAGAAATGATAACAAGAAATAGAAAAAAATCCAAGGAATCTATTCTCTTTTGATCCAATAATAAAATGCCATTATCAAAAATGATAGCACAGAATCTTGATTCAAGATAAGATAAATCTCATGTCCCAAACGTTCTTTTTCAAGAGGCAACTGGACATTGGGGGTTTTTTGTTTAAAAAAAAACAGAAAGTCCAGTTGCGTCTTGGAAAAGCACTTTGGGACAACCATGACCTGGATGACATAAATCTTATGTGCACATCCACTCCCAATTTAATCTTGTGGAAGCTACAGGTATCATTTTATGCTGTCATATTTGTATGTTTGTTTTTATCCAGATTCATTTCAAAAGATCATTCCTGGTCTTGAAACTAAGGGTTAAAAAAATTAGCTACAGATTCTACAGATTACTTTGCCTCTACCCAGTTTTGCAGAGGTATAGCTATTACATAAAGTCTGGTTAGATTTTTTAAAATGTGTGCATCAACTGGTGAGTTAACTTAAAATTCTGTATAAAATGGTGATAATAACTGAAAAAGAAAGAAAATACATCCAGGAAATTGAAAGAAATCCAAATGGTGAGCATTTCCTTGACACTGAATAAAAGCAAGATTATTTTCTGTTTAAAGTTTATTTCTTTTTCTTCTTTTTTAAACAGCTTATGTTATCTATCAAGTCAAGATGTATACAAACTTGGTACGTTGACTTAGGATTAGGATTGTTTTTAAAGAAAAAAATTGTCTTTCCTCTTGCTACAGGTCAGCCGCAAAGCCGAGTCACTGTCCAGATTCCTTCAGACTTAACTTGTGTCTCGTTGCTACAAAATGGTGCTGGATATATATCAGATGACCTCAGCAATTCTAAGGGAGAGGCTGGCAATGGGATCTTATGTTCCGAACTTAAATCACTATCAAGTTCCCAGAAGCCTCATCGGAAACTGCAGTCCCATCACTCCATCAACAGCCATATCAGCAAAAAAAGCAAGAGCAGCTCCAAATCAGCATCCTCTCAGATCCCTACTGAAGCACAGGAAGGTATCTCTCTGCTTGCATGACTATTTTCACTTGCTTGTTCCCACTTGGTCTTTTTATTGTGACACAAACCAAGAAAAGCCTCCAGGACTGTAAAATTGGTTAAACTTTAACTCCCATCCCCTTCGAGCAGTTTTTTTTTTTTTTTGTAACCTTAGTAACTTTAAGATGAGTGGACTTCAACTCCCAGGATTCCCCTAGTCAGCCATGTTCGGTGGAGGGATTCTGGGAGTTGACGTCCACTCATCTTAAAGTTGCCAAGGTTTAAAAAAAACCTGCTTTGGGGGGAAATCAGGTGATTGCAAAGACTTAGACAGAAGGAATAGAGGCAGAAGAGGTATAATGAAGGAATACAGGATGAGAAAGAGAAAAGCATAGTTCTCATCCAACCTCAAAGATTGAAGAGCTCGTTCATTTTAGTTTTGGATTTCCCTCCCCTTTCAGAATTTGGTTAATTAAAATAGGATATCAGCTCTAAATCTTCAACTGGTTCTTCACCTTGGAAGATTATTAAGAACTGGGCCTGCTTTTTAAAACACGAGTCCTTGATCCCACAATATTGGTATCCTTTCCATTCAGGTTTATCCCACTGAGATGGCCAAAGGCTGGTGGAAGACATCATGTATCTTTTGGACTAAGGGAATTACTTATATGTCCACTGTCCTCGAAAGCATTAACCCAAAATAGGAAAGTTCTTGGCAGTCTTGTCTTTATTCTTTTATCTTTAAATTATTTCTGTGTCCCTGTATGAGAATAGCATTTGAGAAATCACAATAGAGCAATTTGGCTGTGCATAGACGTAAGTTTGGGAAAAGTTTTCTGCTTTTGAAACTAGGCAGTCAGGAGTTTGAATACCATTGCTCCTTTCTGTGTTTTGTCTACACACTTGCATTTTGTTTTTCAATATAAATGCCAAACTCCTGTTTCACTGTGTATTTTCCACACCCCTGCAAATTGCATTCCTGAGTATATTTTTTAAAGAAAAACATGGTTTTAACTATCTAGAAGACACTGTACAAATAGGGAAAGACAGTTAATAAGAGGATAAGTAATGCAAGCAGATACTTATTTATGAGATGATTTAGGAGAATAGCAGTTGAAGCTCCACAACAATTTGCAATTCCTGAATCTTTCTTTTTTGCAGCCTTTCTCTCCTGCCACAATTCCCAAAAGTTAGTTGAATGGTTTCCTGTCATTTTAATGTGGGAAATGCAGATGTGTTATAACCACTCGTGCAGCAATCATTCAAATGTGCAACAATGCTGAATAAGGAAGACTCATGATCAGTCCTCTGAGTTCTAGTCATCACAGTGTCCCCACAGTCATGTGATCATCGTCTGGGGATTTGGCATGTGCCTCACAATTATGGTATCACAGTGAACTGCAGCCCAGCAATCACAATTTCCAACATTCCCTATCAGCTTTCCACAAGTGAAGTCAGCAGGAAGTCATGGTAGCATAGTCACATGACATCATGCCTTAAGACTACGTTGCTTAGTGTCAGCAATTCCAGTCCCAACTTCCAAGTCCAAGGACTACCTGTACAACAAAACTTTTTATGAAAATCTTAATATAGGCTTCATCTCTATTCAAGGTTTCCAAAAACAAAGCACCTAGGGAAGTCCAAAGTCCTGAACCTCAAGTGAAATCAGCGAAAAGTGGAAGTTTTACATTGAGTTTCCAGTCATCCTGGATTCTTCCTGCAGGAGATTAGTATTATGTAAGCAATATCCTTGAAGAACAAGGCTTATCTGGCACATCCTATACAGATTGAACAGCCACTTGTCCTTAAAACTCTCTCAAAATCAAGAAAGAATATTCCGCAGAAGGACCTCATCCAAATCTGTTCACTTTTCAACATCACACCACCCATTGTAGTCAATACTGCCCCCAATTTTTCCCCCAATCTTTTTTTTAAGCACTGAGTTTAGATCTTAATGTAGTTTTAAGGTATTTTTAAGACATACTTTCACTCTTGAATTTACTGGGGGCTAATGGTTATTCTGCCAGAGAAACACAGTGGCCGTTGTTTCCAAGAAATTGATGGAAGGACTCTTTGTCTGGGGAATTCTGCCAGAAGAGCTAATGCTAGTGACATGGAGGGGCTTTAGTTCTTCAAAAATCTAGGAGGGTTACAAATACCTCTATCAGTGCTATAAATAGTGAGACCAGGAAGGTTTCATCAAAAATCGTCCGTACTATCTCTGGGATTTTATCGAGAGCTCAGAAGGCATTATCCAATATTTGGTACTCTCCTGCATTTTCTTAGTATTTCTTCCCCTCTCCTGTTTACCTTTGAAATAAAATCTGTTAAAAATAGAAAGAGGGACTAGCTACACTGTTGATTGATAGTACTATGAGCTTATGCATCTGGAATTACTCCAGACTTGCAATCAAAACTGCCAAAAGATTATTTAGGGGTGTTGTTGTTTTGCCTCCCAAATAATCACTTACTCACTCATACATTCAGCCCCGTCAAAGGCCACTAGTTTCTATTCTGATCCATGGAAGCAAGAATTTTATATTATGAGGTCCAGCCACCATCATCTACATCTGCAGGGCATTTACAAAATATCCTAAGGCTGGTGCTAGGAGCTTTCAGATGCCAGTGCGCAATTGGTTTGTTTCAATGTTAGTGCTCTTCTTGGCATCCTTAGAGCTTCAGAGTGATGCCTTTGCAGCATCCTGCTGTGCTCTAGCTGTGCAAAAAGTTGTCCTTCATTTCTCCTTCCTTCCAATTTTGATCCAGCCTTCCTGCCCTATTTCAGCCTCTTGTGCTTGGCTCTCTGTGGCCTGCTTTTGATAGCCTTGTCTCTTTCTGATTCCAGACTGCTGCGTCCACTGTATTCTCTCCTGCCTCTTCTGTGAGTTCCTGACCCTCTGCAACATCATGCTGGACTGTGCCACTTGTGGCTCCTGCAGCTCTGAGGATTCTTGCATCTGTTGCTGCTGCTGTGGCTCTGGGGAATGTGCTGATTGTGACCTGCCCTGTGACATGGATTGTGGCATCATTGATGCCTGCTGCGAGTCAGCTGATTGCCTGGAGATCTGCATGGAGTGCTGTGGCCTTTGTTTTTCTTCCTGAAGTCAAATCTTGATCCTTGAACAGGAGCTCCAAGTGGGACCCTTAGGGGAAAACTGTGCTAATTAAGTCTCTGTTGTTCTTCTTTAGTTATCAGATGGCTGAGGTTTGAGAAGTTCCAAGTTTGAAACCAGAGACCTGAATAGAAGAAGTTGACAGAGTTAATTCTATTGGATTTGATTCTGGGCTCAGAAACTGTTTAGAAGATGTGGTTCTTTTTTCCCCTGACTGCAATGAAAAGTTTGAAGTAACAGGATATCTCCATGTAGTCATCGTCTTTATTCTTTCTCTTTGTCCTCACACCAGAACTTTCCACATGGAGGCTGGGGAATAGCAGAGTTCCTGCTGCCTGAGCCAAATACCAGAGAAGAATAGTTGCACAACTAGCTATGCCGGTTGGTTGAAATCTGAAGCAATTACACAAAGCCAAAGATCATAGCAGACATGCCCAGGCTGTGTTTAGTATGATAGTAAGATGTTCCACCTACTGGTCCAACTGCAGGGGTTTATTCTCATTCTGGCAGTTGCTGCTGCCTTATCTGATGCCCAGTAGTTGGTAATTTTGCTGCCTCCTGGGCATCCAAAGCAATGGCAGCTCACCTAATGTTTTTATGCAGTTGTTCTGGATTTATCCCTGGCACACCAGCTGAATTCTTCCAATAACATGATGCAGAGAATAGCCGCTAATTCATCCACAATAACATGGATCCATTTGGTATCTGTCAGCAGTTAGGAGCAGATCTTTCCTGTGAATTCTTGGATGGGACCCATATCTCATTCCTGCTGCTCCATCTTCCATTTGTCCTTTGATAGGGACATGTCAGTGTTGGCATTGTGTCATTTCATGTGACCAGAACATGCCGCTCTTCATTTTCAATGTACAACATTGAGAGACTTTTTTGCCACCACGGGCATCTGTCAGAAAAAAGCTTTTGAACAGAATTGGGAGAGATTATTAGTTTAAAAGAAGACAAGGGAAACTGCTTCCTTCGCTTTTTCCCACAGCAGGAAAACACTAAACCTAACTCAAAGACACCGGATATGAGTCACTTACTATTAAAAAAAATTCATATCCTCTTAAAAAGAAAATTGACAATATGATATTAAGACAGTGGATGAGACAATTTGTAGCATGTAAGGGCAGTCCTCTGCCTCTTTGTAGTATGTTGTTATTGTTAATAAAAATATTTTTCACTTTTGACTTAAAATTGTTCAGTGTTGTATACTGGCTTGGGAATTGAAAGTACTATACATTTCAGTTGAAATGTTTTTATACATAAATATATTGCCTTAATACAAAATATACATACAGAATGCCTGTTGTTCAAATTTAGAATGTACAAACTTCAACAATTTACATTCCTTATAGTGTACACATGCAGGTCTGTGTGGGGAATTTACACACACTTATCTTGTATTATCAATATATGGAATTGCTTTAAAAGAACGTTTTAATTTGCTTCCAGTTGCAGCTATCCATCAATAATGGGTCTTGAAAATGTGTTCCAAAATATTGTTTTTATACATTATGCAAGAATCATACACATTTCTAAACAGTGAATCAGTTATCTAGCATAAGAGTAGGAATGCTAACACAAATATATACACAAAGTCTAAACTTTGAAAATAAAATCATGTTAAATGGCAAATACTGTAGTAATTTAGATATCAAATTCTTTCAAGAACAGAATTTTTCCTTATCTTTTGGGAATTATATGAATAAAAGGTTAAACCTAACATTCACCTTATTAATCACTCAAAAGGATATTTCATGTGAAAAGCAACTGTTGGAATTCACCTTAAATCCGTTAAAAGTATAAGATTTTTAATCTTCTGTTTCTTTTATTTACTTAATTTTTGCCCTAATATAATTTTGCTACCCACCTGAAGCATGTCCTAAGCTTGGCTATCTGGTTGGGAAAATTGCTGGCTTGGAATTCTACAGACATGAGTAAGGGAAGAGTTAACCAGGCTTTGGGGAATTAATTAACAACAGATGTCTTTGCTTTCAATTAATTATCTCTTGCCACATTTGGTTTTTACAGTTCCCTGGGAAGCCATTCTGCAATGACCAGCTGTTCAGATGCCAAGGCAAGCTCACTGCTCATAGGGTTGGAGGCTCACGTAGTAACTGGGCAGGGAGTAAATGGGTTTGTTGTTCTTCTATTTGTGTTGCGCCAGCTAGCAGACAAGCAAACTTCCACTGATGTTAGCAGAAGTGACGCATCGCACATCAGGCTTCTCAGACAATTTCCCAAGGATTTATGGGTCAGTGGCCAGGAATAACTGCCACCTGGTACTGTGTTTTTGGAGATGTTAAAACTCGGTCCATATTTGAAAAAAAAATATGTAGTGTTTTGATTAGTTGCAAAGGAAAGGAGGGCACAGATTTCCTTACATTGTAGGGAAATAATTTTTAAAAATGAGGTTTATTTATCTTCAACTGATGGTTCACATGTACAACAAATATTTGCTGAGTTCCAAATTGTCATGCTGAGTAAGCACTAGTCTCCTCAGGGGGAATATGCTTCTAGAAGGGGAATGGACAACCGATAATTCTGGGTGTTCCGGACTAGCAGGCTCGTAATCCTGCAAACCTGATTGGTCCGCTAACAGCGGGTCGTGATTGGTCGCTCTGGGCTAATCCGATTGGCTGGTTAACGGGCTGCCGCGATTGGGCAACCCAAGCGCGGCAGACTTAAATCCTTGTCATTGGACGCTTTAGCAGCAGCCAGCTCTATAAAAGGAGCTGCTGCAGCCAGGCTTTTTCGCTCTGATCAGAAGTCACTAATAAAGAGTTGAAGTTACTATCCGAGGTCTCATTTCCATTATTACGCCATCCGCCCAGACACAACACTGAGGCATATAGACTCATAAAGCAACAGAAGATTAGGCATAACCACTTCTTAAGTTAGGAGATGCAGACGAGAGGCATAAACCCTTTAGATCAGGGGTGTCAAACTCGTGGTCCCGGGCCAGATACATCATGTGTTGGCCACGCCCACCCCTGGTTTAGCAAAGGGGGGAAATGTTGCGACACATCACGTAACAGTGTGTTGTTGCGAGTTTGACACTCCTGCTTTAGATCATAGGTTTTCTTTCCGAAGGATTTTGATGTACAAATAAAGACGAGCAGATTATTCAGAAGCAAGGAGATACCGTTTCTGTTGTGTCATTCTACCCTTATTAAAACACAATGCCTTTAGAAACAATGCAGTCCACAATGAATTGACTTGTTCTCTATGCCAGGGGTCCCTGACTTCTGATCCATGGACCAGCACCAGCACAGCATGCCAGTAACCTGGCCCCGCAAACAAGCAAAGTCCCATCTGCGGGATGCAGGCAGTATGCAAAATAACACTGCCTCCCATCCATGGAAAAAAACCTTTCTCCACTGAACCAGCTCCTGGTGCCCAAAAGTTTAGGGGCTGCTGCTCTATGCCCCTTGGTTTATCCCCAGTGCCCTACTAAGACTTGAATTAGGATCTTCTTCCAGAACTTCCTGGATAAGAATATGTCCACCTAAGATACTGAAACTAAGCTGGAAGACGTTCTTTGGTTCAGCTTATGCAGGTAATTTTAACTCTTCATTCTATCTGTAGGCAATATCAGTGATGGCTATGGAGAAAGCTACATCTAACACAAATAATGCACTCCTGATTTCATGGTAGAAGGTAAAAGATCTAGTTTCAAATAATGCATCAGGCAACTTTTATCACATCTTCCTTTTTCAAACTGCCTCTTAAACATTATTTTCCCCCCCAAACAAAAAAGGCATTTACTTTAATATCCTGATCTTAAATCCAGTGCATTCAGTAACATTCCTTATCTAGTCTGCCACTGCCAATGTTCAGGTGGAGCCACTGAAACAACATCTCGCATTTTTGTGAACTATATCAGGTCTGGCGATTTTATTACAGTATTGTATTGCATCCAGTCTGTGTTTGTGCAGATGTTAAACCGAGTCCAAAACTGTACAGTTTTTATTAGCAGATATTTCCACAGAAACGTCCAAAAAAGTCACTAGATTCTTCTCCATGGCAGTTGCCATCAAAAATCAATGGGCTCAGCCCCACCCAGGCCTGGATTGGCTTAGTGTCATTTATGGGACTAATATGTACTTTTCCAATGTCAGCTACTGCCTTATTGCTTATTAGTATTTTATTATTTAGTATTATTTAGTATTTGTGGGTGTATGCATAAATCTTCCCTAGAATCATTTAGCTGAAATTCAATATGTATCACAGAAAAATAGACCCCAATTTCATACTAATTTTGATTGAAAACAAGCTGGTTGAAAACACCCTTAGAAAAATTTATCATATACTACAGTAGCAATAAATCTCAGCCACTCCACATGCATGCCCTAAATTCCTTGTTCTGCTTAAGGTTTACAGTAATGTTATTGTGATCCTAAACACTATAATTTTAAAAAAGTTTGCCTCCTTGGCTTCTAAAAGTATTACTATTTAAGGTGCAGTTGTTTCATGAAACAAATGTATTACAATTAAGTTTTAATTAAGTGAACTCAGACATGTTGTGTTTTAAAGTTTATAGGTGGCAGCATCTGTTTGAACTTACCTGAACTTGGAAGGTAAGCAAGATCAGCTTTGTCTAATTCTTGGCAAATTATTATTCTACGGAATTAAGAAAACTACATGAAGTCAGCAGCAGTCAAAAGAATTTTTTTTAAAAAATAAATAAAGAGATTTTCCCCCACAATACAGCAGCACAATATATCCACAATATATTATGAATATTTTATGTGAATTTCCTGTCTAGTTGCTATACGTAGGGTTGGAGCCACAGTTGAATGATTTGAGATAATGCAGCCCAACATTTGACTTAGCTCTGTGAAAACTTAAGTCACACATCTCTACCATGAAGTCATTGTGAATGGGCCTTGATATTGTCATTCTCTCATTCATGAACTAAATTTCTTTCAAATAATAAATTAAAATGAGAAAAAAAATAGTTATTGTGAGGATGAAATAAACAAAATTGCTGAATGAAGAATAAAAACAAGGAGGCAGAAGACTTTGAATACATATAAAAGGAGTGATTGAATTTATTGTGCAAATATGTTTATTGTGCAACACTTTCCATATAAAATTTCCCTCTATGTGGTATCCTTTTTATTTATTTCCCCGGAAAAATGTTTTAATAGTAAAATTCTGTTGCTACCGGTATTTCAAGTGCAACTTGATGAGCCAAGATCAGATCAAGAACTAAATCCTGATTCTAACTTTTATCCCTTCCAAACTAAAGGGATTATGGTATGATATTTGTCAAAAGATCTGATCTTTACTGAGATTATGGTTTCACTTCCTCTTTGATCTACTCTTATAAAATAGCAATAGTGATACTCAACAAACAGGACACATTGAAACCACAGGGTCTCCTAATACTATAGCAAATACATATACTGTACTATACATTCACATGCAAGAAGCTCTTAAGGAAAGCTTTTCCAGTTAACTGCCCCATGCAGTGCTTATTCTATGAAGAGAAGACAGCCAGATAGACTATATATTTATTTCCTTGATCAGCATCATAGGCAAATGAGAGATCATAACTACAGGAAAATAAATATCCCCCAGAGCCTGTAAATCCTCTAAATTATTTTTATGTCACTCTAAGCACATAAGAAGTAGAGATTTAAAGGGCCAATATAGGGCCAAGCCAGAGGTGGTATTTAGCAGGTTCTGACCAGTTCTGGAGAACCGGTAGCAGAAATTTTGAATAGTTCAGAGAACCGGCAAATACCACCTCTGACTGGCCCCACCCCATCTATTCTCTGCCTCCCGAGTCCCAGCTGATCAGTTGGGGCTTTTTTTTTTTGTTGCCCTGCACAGGAGAACGGAGCTGGAAAGCAGGTTAGTGGGGTGGGGAGGGAATGGGATTTTGCAGTAACCCTCCCCCAGGAGTGGGAAGGGAATGGAGATTTTACAGTATCCTTCCCCTGCCATGCCCACCAAGCCACACCATGCCCACCAAGCCACAGAACCGGTAGTAAAAAGCTTTGAATCCCTCCACTGGGCCAAGCAATGCTTTAACTCTGGCAAAGCTAAATTGCCTAGGGACCATAAAAATTGTAAATGTGATGGCAGTTACAATCAAATATAGGGGAAATCAAACTTTGGGTTATTTGCAAAAATGTTTTGTTAGGAAGAAAAGAGAAGGAGATAGCTTTAAATCAATTAAGTCTTCAAGTGAGGATGACCTGTTCACTCAGAGTAGTACTAGCCATCCAGTCACAATGTGATGGAGGGTGGGGGCAAG